TATATATATATATTATACACACACACATATATATATACAATATATATATATATATATACATATATATATATATATATATATACACACACATATATATATATATATAAATATATATATATAGATATATACATACACACATCACCTCACATACACATACACACACGCATATATATATATATATATATATATATATATATATATACATATACATATATATGTATATATATATATATCAGATATATATGTATATACACGCAGACACAGACACACAGACACACAGACACGCAGACACAGACACGCAGATACACAGACACCGACACAAACACAGACACACATATATACATATATATACATATATATATACATACATACATACATACATACATACATACATATATACATACATACATACATACATACATACATACATACATACATACATACATACATACGTACATACATACATACATACATACATACATACATACATACATACATACATACATACATACATACATACATACATACAGATATACAGACAGATATATTTATATACAGAAAGAAACACGCACAAAAACTAAGTTAACACACCTGACAAAAGATCAAAACTCGATGATTGCTACTAACGCCGCCGTCACCCAGTGTACCATTCTCTGTCTCGTCGGCTGTGATGCCAAGCCCACAGTCATGGAGCAACTGCCTGTAGACACGGACAACGACCAACATAAGCAGTGGATGAAGATGTACTATAAAACGTATACGTCAATATCTACCGCGTGTATATGCTGCACAACTACAATCAATTCCAATTCTACAGTCAATGCCAAGATCAAAGTCAATAATAACTCAGCAGATATGTAAGTGAACCCATATGTGACCATGAGCATAGTACATCAGTAGGTGATGGCTGACTTATAATAATTATAACAGTCAATGCCAAGATCAAAGTCATTAATACCTCAGCAGATATGAAAGTGGAAGATATGTATGTGAACCCATATCATAGTACATCAGTAAGTGATGGCTAATCTATAATGATTACATACAGTCAATGTCAAGATCAAAGTCATCAATAAGTCAGTAGAAGTGTAAAAGAGCCCAATGTGACCATGAGCATAGTACATCAGTAAGTGAGGCTAACTTACAATGATATATACAGTCAATGCCAAGATCGAAGTCACATAGCAATCGGCTCCCCATAGTTACTAATAAGTACATATGCTGGATAATACCAAGTGGAGTTTATATGCGTGGCTATTAACTTATAGTATATCAACAAGTAAAACTTTACATGCGTGACAATGTCCGTTTCCATCCATGTGAGTTAATTTAGTGGGTGTGGTGGTAATACAAACAGTGCTAGAGGGTACGTACAAAACAAATCTGTGCATTGGTGCAAATAGGTACGCTCACACATCGATACACAGATAGGCAAATCTATACACACACTTAGATATTACATTTAAGGCTTGTGCACTGTCATTTTGAGATACAGTTTCGTCTTGGTCAGATCGTTCCATTGCGGGTTGCTGGATTGGTATGGACTAATCAAATCAATCCGTGAGTGCACGTACACACACACATATTTGCCAACATATACAAAGACATACACACATACTTCAGGGGCAATACTTCTAGGGGCGGGTACTGTATCTGTGAGGTCCAATTTGCTCCTCGCCATTTTTTGCGGGTGTATGGGTACCTACCAATGCTGGATATATACAAATGTAGCACATCCATCCGTGTGCAGGCATACATACACACACACACACACAGACACACACACAGACACACACACAGACACAGACACAGACACACATATATATATATATTCACAAAGACTTGTGTACTTGATACATGCTTTAGGGCTATAAGCTTAGGGGCGTGTACTATATCTTTGATGTCCAGTTTCTTCCTGGCTAAATCCTTCCATTGCGGATGCGTGGGTGTTAACACCAGTGCCGGGTGCGTGCACAATTTACGGAGGTACTGCAGCGCCTGGAACACATGCGCGGACTGACCCCCGCTACAAGAATAGAAGACATGATTGGTTAGCATCTCCGCTGCAAACATAGAAGACATTCGATTGGTCAATATTTTCGTGCATGACAAATGTGCCAAAACTATTTTGGGAATTGGAAAGCGGACAATTCAGTCCGATCACAATCAGCTAGTCTACGTCAAGTCTTTCTCTGTTTGTCGCGGCGTGAAAAGACATTCGGTGTATGCAAATCTTATTCGTTGTTGGTGTATGTGACTGCACATAATTACTGTTGGTATATGTTAAACAACATATAATTCAATAAATAGATGGGACTACAGCCAAGAAGCCGGTATAAAAATTCGAGCGCCATTGATTGGCGAGGCTTAAAGGATGCATTCGAATCATTTTGGTTGGCTGAAAGGAAAAATAAGCTCTCCTGATTGGTCAACGCATTGTGGAAGTTTACTACTTCCTACTTTTGATCGAGAACTGACAACCGCTGGTGACATCGACATGAGGTATTAACTGAATACACGCACACGTACACATAACGAAGCCAAAATGAGTGTCCAATTGCTATGTTTTGCCAACCTGTGCCTGGGAAACTGAATTTTATCCACAGAAACACACGCACACACACACACACAGAGACAGACACAGGCCCACACACAGAGAGACAGACACAGGCCCACACACAGAGACACAGACACAAACACAAGCAAATATAGATATATACCACTTACGTCGTTTTACTCGTGTAGGCATTTCCATTCGAAATAAAACACTCGGCATATCACTCACACCCTGATATACGAACACTCCAACCCACATACGTCGTTTTAATAAACCCTCGGCAAATCACTAACGCCCTCATATACAAACACGCCAACCCACATACGTCGTTTTCCTCTTAGCTGGCTTGATGTCCTCTCCTCCTTCTCCTACCTCGTCCGCAAATAGCTCAATGGCCTCTGTCTCTACTTCAGACTTAACAGAGCTGTTCTGGAAGTCATTGTACAGGTCCTTCTGCAACTGACTCAGATCGCAGTACAGGTCTTGGATGATCTTCGGCGGGAGGTCTTTGAGCACATCCTCCTTCACTCGCCGCATCATGAACGGAAGCATCTGCGCGTGTGTCGATATATATATATATATACTGTATGGGCGATACGTACGTATATACATGTATGCCAGAGGGTGTATGTATGCTTGATTAACACATATATATAGAGGGGTGAATGAGTATGAACGGAAAAATCTGCGCGTGTGTGGCATATACAGGTATATATATAGTACAAGAGAGATACACATGTGTCTGTGCGTGTGCAAAGAAGTGTATACGTATCTCATAAATTTATATGTATATTCGTGTGATCCGTGTCTGAACTGAAGCATGTGTGCGTGTGGGGAAAAGTGTCAATTTGTGTAAGAGAGCCGCTTGTACATCTTAGTGGCGTTGTCTGCCCAAGTTTGTGTGGGCACGTGTGTGCGATGGTCTATCTGTGCTACGTGAAAGAGATACATGTGCATATACAAGTGATGCAGTGTGGTGGCGTGTATTCGTGCATGCATGGCGACGCTTACGTGTATGAGTGTAAGCAATACAAGAGTGCAGTGAGTGCTTGTGCGTGTTGAAATGTATGTGTCCTTGTGCGAGTAAGCGTACGTATGTGCATGGTGATGGTTTATCGTACAGATGTATGCGTGTTGCATAAGCGTGCGCGAGCGCCCAATTGCTTGTGAATTGGTGATTGGGAGCCGCGTGTGTATCTGTGTTTGGTTGTGTTTATGTGTGATTAAGTGCGTGGTTTAAAGGTGGCAACATGAGGCATCAAGCCTCATCTGTACAATTGACACACATATGCACATACACACACACACCTGTCGATGCAATGCTTCCAGTGCGGCAGCGCCAGCCTCAGCCTCCTTGGCTGTGGACTTTGCGTCTCGTGAGGCCATGATTGGTTTACTGTATGTTTCCTGGAACACTCGGTCGGTCGACAGAAACCCTGGCATGAGGAAGTCAAACAGGGACCAAAGCTCCACTACGTTGTTCTGTATACGAGATATGGGATGTATGACACAATTGGATGCAAGAGTGTCGATTTATATACTTAGATTATCGATATAACTCTGTATATGGAAGGAACAACGTCATGGGATGCAGGCTGTGTTTGAATATATACGCAGGCTTATTTGTACAACAGATATGTCCAGTACGTTATACTGTATATGGCTGGTACATTACAACGCGATGCAGGTGCGCTTGTTTATATACCAATGTTTATGGTTTATCAGTACATCAGAAATGTGTAGTGCTATTTGGATGTGATCTGTACAGTCAAATAGTCATTCGACAAGATTCGCTGTGCCGATACAATCCGCAGGATACAGCTTAACCAATTTGAATATAAATACAATGACAATATGTCAGTGCAACCAGAGTCGAACTAGTACATACGCCAATGTACAAATACCTCTAATCGGTCTGAGACACGCATACAAAAAGAACCGAAAAGTTTTGTGCATCATAAGCGAGTGTACGTATGACAAAGAAACGCATAGCATTTGCGTTGTATTTGATACACGCAGTCAACTATGAACCATACGCGTGGTGAAAAAATGCACTTTGATCCCAAGTACCTACAAAGTCAGTCCTCTTAATAACAACCAACCAGACATGTCCATATAATGGCGAAAGTTGTCTGTCACTTTGATCAATCCACATCGTTCTGAGCCGTGGGTTTTGAATAACTCGATTCTCATATGTAGTATAAACTATAGCCCGCACAAATTGCATAAGCTGCTCCAGCGGCGTTCTACCTACACAATTTATTTTTGGAATAGTCCACATGCGCTATCCTTACCTGAATGGGAGTGCCAGATAGAATCAGCCGATGCTCAGCGTGCAGACTCTTTGCGGCTTTGGTAATCTGCAGTCGTGCGGGAAACAAATTGAAATGAATATCGGGACAACCGCTGCAGAGGCGCACAGGACACCCATAGTATGCGATGATTCGCATTAGCGGTCTACACCGGAATAGGTTAAAAGTACGCCAGACAATCCACAATTTATTTGTATGTATCGATATACGCTGATGAAGTGACCACAAGTAGCGCATATACCAATATCTAATAGCACATTGGCGCTAATTAATATATATATATACATAGAGAGATATACATTCACACACACACACACACACAAACACACACACACACAAACAAATACACACACACACACAAACACACACACACACAAACAAATACACACACACATATATATATTTACATACATACATACATACATACATACATATG